CTCAATTTAAATTTAATTTATTTAAATTAAATTTTAAATATTTTATTTTTAAAAAATTTATATAATTAAGTTTAGCCTTCATTTTTTTGGCTAGATTTAAATTAGCTTGTGGGACTTGATCAAAATTATTAACTCTATATATATATAAAATTAAAAATTTTTGCAGTTAAGCTTATTTAAATAGGACTTAAAGCATTCTATCTATTAAAAAAATTTATATAACCAAACTCAATCTTAATTTTTTTAAGTAATTCGGATTAATTTAAATTGCTGACTTTAAAGCTTTTGGGCTTAATGGCTCAGCCTTGTTTGTCGCTTTCTTCACAAGTCTGGTTGACCGGTGGCTCACGGCAGTGCTGCATGTAAAGCTAGCTTTGGGTGATGTTATTTTTTTAACAGTCAAACTTATTCAAGCTCTTGTGAACTTAAAAAAAAAGAAAAGAAAATTCTAACAATTCAAAAACCCAAAAACCCAAGTTATTAAAACCGGCTGGATTTGTTTATATGAATTTTTTGTATGTTGGAGTTTACTAAAAGCAAGAGTGATACACAAGCCAGTGAGTCAGAAGTTCATCCTCAAACCCAAACGAGAGGAGGAGGAGGATGATGATGATGATGATGATATTGGACACTGACAATATAGCTTAACTAACCTTTCTTTGTCTTCAACACACACTACTTTGTGATGATTTAACTTTTACTTTATTCATTTAAAAATATAAGATATTTTTTAAAAATTTAAATGTTTAAAAATTTAAAATATTTCATTTTAATCTTTTAATATATAATCATTATCTTTTTTTTAAATTACTCTTATTAATAATGACTTTATATTTAGTGTAGAGTGTTTAATAGAAGTAAATATAAAAAGATATGATTAGTTGAAAAATAAAAAATTACTTTATTGAAGAGTGAGATTTGATTAAAAATATTTTATATTTTTTAATAGAGAGTATGATATTATTATTATTTTTTGGGTCTTGTTGACACTTCAAATCTATATTAAGTGACACAATACGACACGAAACACTGAATTTGACTGTAAGGATTGGGTTTGTAATAATCTGGGAATGAATCAAGTACGCTGACTTCATTTTCACTTAAACAACTTGACCATCACAAGAAGTTAACAACATTTAAGGGCAAGAAATTGACATTTGATGTTTATAGAAAAATACACAACATAAATGCCATAATCAATTCGTTTTTTTTCCCCCTGAAAATAGAAGAAGCCTGAAGTTAAACTCTTAAGTTAGCTCTAGAGTTGTGCAAAAATCTCATGGTCTTGTTTGGTCCGGTCCGACCTATGAAAATCCAGTCCTGTCCAGTCTTGTAAAATGCTGGTCCTATAGGACCAAAAAAACCAAAAAGACAAGACTAATTTTTCGGGTAAGACCAGACTAGAGACCAAGCATCTGGACTAAGTGGTCCGGTTTGGTCCTATATAATTATTTTAATATAATTAAAATTAATTTATAAATTATTAATTAATAAGCCTTAGAAAAAAAAAGTCTTAATCCTACCTTGCACTTTGCACTTTGATCGAAAAAAAAAACCTCAACACAATACTCAACAGCACTTAACATCTCAGCCACTCACTCAACTTTGCTCTCATTCTCAATTTCTTTAGTGCGCCAAAGCCCTAGCCCCTGCCTTGCACTTTGCACTCTGATCTTGATCTGTTCGAACTTTGAAGGAACATGTCTGTGGGCTGATTTTTATTACTTTTGTTCTTGCTGATTTTTTTTCTCTGGTCTATTTTTGATCTTTCCTCTGATTTTTTATTGAAGTTATGTATTTAAATCATTTGGAGTTTGGACTGTAACTAAAATATTATTTTCTTAGTGTTAGAAATTATTATGGATTTATTATGATTATAAGTATTTTTATTATCTTAATTGAATTTGTTAAGTTGAAATAGATTATTGGTCATCATAGAGAAAAAAAAGAAAAAAAAAGGTCAAGTGAGTATTGAACTAACAGGACCAGTCTCCCAGTCCTATGGACCAAGTCCAGTCTTGTTAATCTCTGAGTTTTCACAGAATCAGAACGGACTACGAGTTACCTAACTCAGTCTTTTTCATGAAAAGGACCAGACTTCGAGTTAGGCTAAAGTCCAGTCCCGTCCAATCTTTTGTGCAGCCCTAGTTAAGTCTAGGATTAGATCTTTCCATTTAAATAGGATGTACATAAAGAATTACTTAATTACAAATGACATATATATTAATGGATTAATAGTTATTTTTGTCCTTTAACTTTACCTGAAGGGTCATTAAAGACCATAAATTTAACTATGGGTCAATTTTATCCTTTAACTTTAAATATTCTCTTATTTATAATTCTAACGTTAAAAACATTTAATGTCTGTTAGTTATTAATGGATCTCACTATTTTTTAATATTTTTTATTGGGTTAAAGGTTATTTTTACCCATAACCTTTTATTCAAAGGGTCATTGAATACCATCAACTCAAATATTTTATAATAAAAAATATTAAAAATGTAATGGGGGTCACTAATGGTCAACTAACAGTAAAAAATGATAAGGTGATAAGGAAAAAAAATTTAAAATTAAGAGATAAAATTTACCTATAGTTGAGTTTATAATCCTCAATAACCTTTCGGATAAAATTGATGGGTAAAAATGACCCTTAACCTTGCATTAATTAAATCTTTACATGTTTTGACTGGGTTTGAATTCATTTTTTTGTTATATATATATATATATATATATATATGCACACACTATTTATTTTAGATTGTGCACAAACGCCCTGTTATTGTAAACAATCTCACTTAAGATACGATTGAATATTATATGAAGATATATTTTTTAATGAAAATTCAAATATTATTTACCACATAACAAAACCAGCTTCTTTTACTAGATGCAAGTTACCCAACCCAATTAGTTATGATAGCCTTACAAGTACTTCACGACTATTTGATATGTTTATTTGATAGGACTCAAATTTGAGACCCCCATATATAAGTTGATTTAATTCTCCCAATTAACTAGTTGAACTAATCATCCTTGATGATTAATTATAAATTATGTTATTACAATCAATCAATCACCTTAAACTAGCGATTTTATCCATCCAATACGAAAGTATATATAAAAAAGGCATCATTATTATTCCTATGTAAAGTGTAAACTCTGCAAAACCCTGAACAGTATGAAGAAATCCTTAGGCATACCTGAGTTTTTAATTCTATGTCATTTTATTAGTTTGACCTAATGCACCATTGTTGAGTACTCATGCAGAACTGTTACTCATTGAAGATTGATGAGTAGGTTGATTAGTTTATTTAGCTGATTTCATTCATCATCATAATATCGCATGCCATTAATTACGTACGTAGATGTCTGATCAAATCAGAGAAAATTATATTCTTTAATTATGATACCATAATAATTAAATACACACCCATATATAACTCTGTTATTTTTAATGAGATAAAATTACTTATTTTACATTTACTAATTAATAAAAATATTTTAACTGCTAATTTATGCTTTGAATTTTTCCCATCTTTTCACTTTTACTTTTAATTAATTCTCATCACTTTTTTAACTTTATTTCAATGTGAACCAAGTCTTTTTTTCAATTCACTCAGGGCATTATAGGGAATAAATATTAATTACTTTTAAAATTTGTACATTATCTTATATATCTTACCCTCCAAAATTTTATTTTATAATTAAAAAAGGAGGGAGTATGTTTTAATCAATTCCTCATTGATTTATATACATGAAGAGTCCCCTTAGTTTGAAATTTGAAAATGCTAGATTTTGGAGGTTCTAGTAAACTTTAATTTTTTTAAAAAAAATCATAATTATATATATGCAAAAACATTATCACACCATTTATGCCCCCTTTGTAAACTAAAACATATAATAGTAATTTAAATTTTATATTATAGGGACAAAATCAAGCATGTGAAAATAAGGTACGAATGAATCCAGGCCCGTGATATTCAGACCGACACAGAACAGAACGTCGCAGGACCTTTCCAATCGGGAGAATTTCAATAAAGGATAGTTTATGAGATATATCTACAAATCAGGACCACAACATTTTGCAATTTCACAATAGGACCAAGGAATTTATTTGATATTATGTTTTCATTATTAACTAGATTTTCTGCACATGCGGATGCATAGAACAATTGAAACGAAATTGTCTAGGTACATTAAAAATATAGGCAATAATTTATTTTATTCTCATGCAAATTATTTTAGAATTTATTATTAGATACATATTAAAAATATAAAAATAATTTCATAATATTCCAAATGCATTGTAGAACATCCAATGGATCATTGAACCAAGATACATAGCCATAAAATTATATTAATATGTTATTATAAAAAATTTTATTATAAAATATTTTTTAAAAAATATTACTAAATAGTGACAATAAAACATGTTTTAATTTTACTTTAAAATACTCCTATATATAATAAAATTAATATAGCTTTAAATATACATATTTAATCATTTCAATTCTATTGAGGTAATGTTAAAAAATTATCATTAATAAAATTTTATTTTTATTAAATTATTTTATATTTTAAAATAATAAAATATTTTTAAAGTTGTCTCATAATTTAAAAGTAGTGGTTAGTTGCATATGGAAATTCCCTCATCTTTCCTGATTTCTGAATATTATTTTTTTTATTTTATTTTTTTCCCTTCAAGGACCGACTTCTTCCATTCCAATATGCTCAAACAGTTTCCAATTTCCAACCACAATACAAAACAATCCCACCAAGACCATCATGTCAGAAATATTTCTTCTCTCTTAAAATATGAAAAAAGAAAACCCATCAGTGTCCTCTTCCTCTGCCACCTCCATCTAGCACCCCCCACCCGTGATCCCACCAAGTACTGTTCTGTTCTGTTACCTTTTTTCTCTTCGACCTCTCTATTATTCCGCACCATCTTTTTTATATTTAGTAATACACTCACAGTCACAGTACAAAAAAAACCACAAGCACAGACGTGACCAACTCTCTTCCTTCTTCAGTCAATCTCTCTCTCTCTCTCTCTCTCTCTCTCTCTCTCTCTATATATATATATATAGCCCCTGCAAACCCAGACAACAAGTCTTACGTTCAAAATCTCAAATGGGTAGTCTCTGTTTCAGATTTGAGGTTGCTCTGTTTCTGGTGGCGTCGTCTCTGTTTTCTCTGCAGCAAGCCGAAGCTTTTAGGTTTCACAATGTGAGTGTATTGAGAGCAAGAAAACAACCAAGTGGGTGCAATATTTTCTTAGGCAATTGGGTTATTGACCCTTCGTATCCTCTTTATGAAGCTTCAAGCTGTCCCTTCATTGATGCTGAGTTTAACTGTGCCAGAAGACCTGATAAGCTGTATCTCAGATACTCTTGGAAGCCTGAGTCCTGTTCCTTGCCCAGGTACAGAGAGAGAGAGAGAGAGAGAGAGAGATTTTGTTCTGTTCTGCTCTGTTCTGTGCTAAATCTGAGACTGATATGAATGTGATTAATTACAGGTTCGATGGGAAGGATTTGTTGAACAAGTGGAGAGGGAAGAAGATAATGTTTGTGGGAGATTCATTGAGTTTGAATATGTGGGAATCGTTGGCGTGTATGATTCACGCGTCGGTGCCGAATGCGAAGACAGTTTTTCTCAGGAAACAATCACTGTCCACTGTGATATTCCAGGTTTGCTTTGCTTAGCTTTTTCCATTGGCTTTCCTTTTTCCTCTCTTTGGTTCCTCTTGTCTTCATTCTTCAACGTCAATGAATGATGCACTGTACAACATTGTAATAATTGAAGGTGGAAAAAAAAATAAAAATAAAGAACAGCTATCAACCCCTTGATGAGAATTATACGAGATGTGTGATAGCTTTCACATGAAATCATTAAAAAATTAATCATAATTACTTAAATGTCTAAGTTTGAGCTATAGTAGTATAATTGACAAATCTCAGGACGATTTGGGACTTAGAAAAAAAGAAATTGATCTCTGAAAAAAAAAAAAGATATGAAGGAATAAAAAAGTAAAGAAAATATTAGATTTAGTGACACTCAATTTTTGTGTTATTTAACAGCATAGTAATTTAAAACAATTTTTTTTTCATATTTTTCACTTTTTAGGTCAAACTTCCTTTTTCATATTAAATTGGTAGTTTGAAGGTCTAATTTAGATTTTTATAGTCATGAAAATAATTATATCTAGCGTAAATTCTGTTACATCAGCCTACCTTCTAATCTATGTGTATACATGAGTATTAAGCATAAAAAATGTAATTAATTTAATGAAACCAAGGTTTGAGTTGGATTTGGAGGGAAAAGAAAACATGAGTTTGTTGGAGTCTTGGAGAGAAAATAAAGCTTAAAGAATACTACTATTACTTTTCCATAGTTGACTTGGTAGAAAAAAGATTCTTCTTGCTTGGCAAGTAGTCATCAATTTTGAAATGAATAAGATAAAATATTTAAAGAAAAACATAATTTTACGTTTTTGTAGTTTACTCCAACTTTATTACAGTTCTTATATTTTTTTTAATATTTTAGATCATTTAAAAGACTAAAAAAATATAAAAACTTATAACAAATTTAAATAAAGTATTAAAATTTAAATTTATATTTTTTCAATATTTAAAATTAAAACCCTTCAATGAAACCGAAAAAACACTCTAAACAATCCGTAGGGCAATTAGGTAGTATATTGATATAGGATGATGATGATATATATATATATATATATATTTTCACCAGCATAGGATGACGATATTGGACCAAATTGGTTATAATATATGTCCTATGAACACATGCTTCAACCGATTTTATTCTAAAAAGAATTTATGATTATTTTTATAAGTAACTTTACATAAAAATATAAATAATTAATTATGTCTTCCTATTTTATCTATTCTGTAATTTTTTATAAGTAAAATAAAATGTTACAGAAGAGATTATATTTTTAAGAAAAATGCATTTAATCAGGATAAATTGAGATTTTTTTTCCAAATAAAATTAATAATTTAGCTATCTCCCATTGATTTTGATGATATAATTAGAAATAATTTATATATAGAATCAAAGTATTTTAATAAAGGGTTTGAGTTGTATTATCACTTGTCACAATTTAATTAAATTTACCAAGGTTGTAATATACTTATATACACAAGAATGGTCAAATTTAAATAAATTAATTATATATTAAATAATTAAAATAATAATAAAAAGAAGGCAAAGTGATTTGGTTGCCGTCAAAGAACAGGCTGTAAGCAGAAGATGCCAACCTGTGATTAATTACAAGGGAAGCCTCAATTCAATGATTATTTCCTTCTTTTTTGTTTAATCACTATCAACACCTCAACTTGGTCCATACACTTTTTATTCTTTAATTTTTATTTTAATTTAATTAACACCTTATATATGTCACTTCAAGACCCCAAGAACACACAAGTTTATGCCCACCCACATGCCCTCCAATGGCAAAATTAATATTGATATTAACATTTAAAGGTTGTAGGGAAACTCTTTTTATATAGATTGCAGGAATAAAATAATTTTCATATATTTTATTTTACTGGTACAAAACTATATTATTATTTAATTTAATGGTGGATACTAGAAATCTTCTAGGTCTGTATTGAGCAGAGAGCTGTCATTTTGATGATCATTTATTGCATGCTTCATAAAAAAGACAAATTTTATATGTTGCTTTGGTTTGCTTACTTCAATATATTGTGAATTTAAATTATATATTTTATTATTATGTTTGAATAGAAGATAATATAAAATAATAAGAAGCAGGATTCCCGCCTGTTTCGGGCGAACAATTTCAGTGTTCCTTTTGGTCCTCTTGTCTTGATATTTGTGCCGTCACTTTCAATAAGTGTTTTAATTTTTATCATTTTTATCTAATGACTTTAAATATTTTAAATATTTTATTTTTATATTGATATGTTGTCTCTGCTCTTGGTTTTAAGTAGTTTCAAAGTTACTTAAATTTAAAATTACATTTTATTTTAATATTTTGTTTCTAAAAAATTAATAAATTTAATTCTTATAATATTAATTTAGTTATAATTCAATCCTTAAATTTTAATTTATTATAACTTACTCCTTCTAATCTTATTTATAAGGTAAAGAGAAGAATTTTTTTATCCTATTTATAAGTCACGTTATTAAATTTTTATCACAAATTTTTTTTTACCCTCCATTAATGTTAAAGAGAGAAAATATATTATTGAAGTATGCATATTTAATAGGGACAAAATTAAAAATTTATTGAATTTTAAGACATAGTTAATAAGTTTTAAGAATTTTTTAATACTAGTAAAATATGTTGGAAGTAACTTAAAAATAGAATCAAAGGAGTAGTCCTTATGGTTTTAATTTGATTATAACCCATCAGTACCTAAATTTTTACTTTTACAAGTTTACCCTTACAGTTTTAATTATTTGAAATATTGATGCCTTTATTGTGAAAAATAAAATCACAAATATTAAAATTATATTAAAATTTAGGACAAATATTTTAAGTTACTAAATTCTCTTAATCTTTATAAAGATTATAAAGATCAAAATTTAAAATAGTTTTAATACTTATAATTTTATTTTTTAAAATATAGAAATAAATATTTTAAATAATTAAAACTAATGGGATTGAGTTGTAAAAGCTCAAGTTCATGGATTGAGTCACAATCAAATTAAAATTATAAAGATTAAGTTACAATGAGTTAAAATTTAATAATTGAGTTACAATTAAATCAAAACTATATGAATTAGATAATTAATTTTTTTACATAAAATAAATATAATATGGAAACAATTTTTTCAACTAAGAACTTCAAGGCACACATAAAAGTAAAAAATGAATTTGAAGTTTGGAATACATCTGGCCAGACAGACAAATAAACATAGCCCTTTAGTCTATTGTAGGATTTGGATCCAGTTAGCAAATAGAGTTGAGAGCTGAAAGTTGAGGCTTGAGAATGTTGCTATTGCTAGGGAGCTTTTGTGTCGTTCTAGAATATATTAATATATAATTAAATTAAATTATTAAAAAAGAAAATATTAAGAAGGAACTTTGAACAAGAAGTTATAATCAAAATGAAATTAATAAATTCTGTTTTATAATTATCTATAATTTAATTCTACTTAACTATAAATTTAAGTATTACCAAGATCAAATGAGAGTAGCTCTTCTAAAAAGTAATTTTTTCATCTATATTTAAATACTTGACCTTTTTGATCCAATATTTGATGATATAGTGAAATAGTTTTGTTGTCAAAAAGGTTGAGAAAATAATAAACAATAAATGAATATCAGTGATAAGAAAATAGTGGATTGATGTTAAAATTAAATGTATCAATTAATAATCCCAATTCATGCCAATTATGCAATTATTCTTCATTTATACACAAAAGCAACGTTGAAATTGACAGAACACGAGCATGTATGGAGATTTATCTTTACTCCTTCCCACGTGAACATTTCATGGGAACAGCAATATGATTTTATTTATTTATTTATTTCTTTTTCGAAAATTTTATTTTATAGTGATGATGGGTACAGAACGGACCCTCGTGACTCATAATTAAATGAAGTTCATCATTCACTGTCGGTCTCTAATCTCTAATATCAACTTTTGTTCTGTGGTTTCAATTCTCCATGGGATAAAGTGAAATTTAATTGGAGGGGATTGTGATTGTGTGCGTGCAGGAGTACGGGGTAATGATACACCTGTATCGCACGCCTTATCTAGTGGACATAGTGAGAGAAAATGTAGGGAGAGTTTTGACATTGGACTCAATAGAGGCGGGAAATGCGTGGAAAGGCATGGATGTGTTGATCTTCAATTCTTGGCATTGGTGGGTCCACACTGGAAAATCTCAAGGGTATATTATTTCACTTCCTCCTTGGCGCTTATAGCCCTTTTGTTTTTCTTTTTAATTTTAGTTCATTTAATTAATTTATTTTTTAAAGGATTAAATGTCAATTTTACTTTAAAATTATAAATCAAGGAGCATCTGAAATTTTTAACTTATTTTTGATGTAATATTCTCTTTTAATTTTTAAAAACAGTATAATAATACATCTATTATTAATATAAGTTAACTTTAATCGTTAGTTGATTAAAAATTTATAAAATGACCTAAAAGTAATAGAAAGGATCCAAAATTATAGATAATAATTCAAAAAATATAAAAAATGACAAAAAATTTTATTAGTTTTTTTGTAATTTTTGAGATCATTTTTATAATTTTTTTGATCAACTAATATTAAAGTTAATATTTATTAATGGTATAGATAATATTGTATAATTTTTAAAAATTAAAGGGAAACATTGCAAGAAAATGAATTTAAGATTATAGGCATTCTTGGACCTATAATTTAGGGCCAAATTTATCATTTATCCATTTTTTCTTAAAAAAAAACATTGGCATGAGATATGTGCTTTCATTTTCCATATTAAATTATAGTGAGTGTGGCTCTTGTGTGGATTTAAAACTAATTCTTATTCATTTTATTAAAACAAATTGAGTTGATAATCAGATGGGATTACATAAGAGATGGTGGTAAGCTGGTGAAGAACATGGATCGTTTTCAGGCATACTTGAAGGGAATGAGCACTTGGGCAAGATGGGTTGATCTTAATATTGATCCCACCAAAACTACAATCTTCTTCCAAGGCATTTCTCCCACCCATTATCAGTAAGTACATATATCCCATCACCATATCTTTATTTATGAACAAGAGATCAATTAGTTTGACACCCTACACAACACAATTAAATGCTACCAGGTTCGTTGACAATTTAGTGTATTGTCATACTAAGTTGTCAATGAACGTCATGGTATTTAATTGTATGCCCAAAACTTGTGTGTAATTCTCGCCCTTTATTGATTTCTATACTTTCTTACACAAAATGAATTGAATTACGTTGAATAAGTTACCTCTAATTAGGTTATGGTGGCAATGCTCAATTTTAACTCAGTAATATACTAAATATCATATAATTGTATATAAATGGGGGGGGGGGAGTGATAGCCTTTGAAGTAGGGAAATGACAATTGGGTTTTATGAAATGTGATAATTACATTAAGGTTCAAGTGACTTCATTGAAATTAAATTTTTATGTGAAATTATTTTAGTACCTCTCTACAACTAATTTCATATGGTTCACAAATTTAGTTCCCATAATGACTAAAATGATTTAGAAACTTACAACTTTTTAAATTGTAGAGGAGTATTAAATTAATTTTGTAGATAAATTTAATTTTAAAGAAGTCTCTTGAAGCCTCACTGTCATTATCACATTTGCGGAACCAAATTATCATTTTCTTATTTCAGAGGGATTTATTTGTCATTCTCCCATAAAAAAAAATCTATCCAGTTAGCTTATTTCTCCATCTTATACTTAAAATGAGTTATAATCTAAGCATTTTTGTGTGCCAACAAGAAAAAATAAGATAGAGTATCAACTAAAACACATTTTGTTGATATTGTTGTAATTAATACAAAAACAGAGGAAAAGAGTGGAATGAGCCAAAGAAGAGTTGTAGTGGACAACTAGAGCCATTAGCAGGGTCAACATATCCAGCAGGTCTGCCTCCAGCAACTACAATACTCAACAGTGTGTTGAAGAACATGAACACTCCTGTTCTTCTCCTTGACATCACCCTCCTCTCCCAACTCAGGAAGGATGCTCATCCTTCCGTCTATGCCGCCGACCGCTCCGGCAACGACTGCAGCCACTGGTGCCTCCCCGGCCTCCCGGACACATGGAACCAGCTCCTTTACGCATCTCTCACTTGAACTACCCATAGTAATGGAGATCATCATTCAAAGAAAGATAGATGGAGAAGAATACAAGATAGGTTTTATTTCCTCCCTTATGATCCCTCTGTGGATTGTCTTTATTATGACATAGGAGAGAGAGATCAGAAGAGGGAGAGATCAGTTCTTTTAGTGATGATTTAATTTCCATTGATACCTGACTAAATTGAAGTGAACTCTTTTTTTTTTTTTTATAGATATTTAACATCAAGTTGTTTTCATAAAATTATAACATGTGGATGTTGGGTATTATTGCATATTATAGTGATTCTTTACAAAAAAATTATTCCCCACATGTTATAGTTTAGTTGGAGAACTTGTTAGTGAATACGTGGAAATTAAAATTGCATTTGAGTTTTTTCTTTTCTTTCATTAATGATTGGAGGGTGGATACTAGAAATGAGTAAATTGATCTGTTGTAAAATTGTAGGCTAATGATCATTTAGTCACAGAATGATCGATGTTGAGCTTTAGTGTCTCTTGTTGCACAATTTATGTACAATAATTTATATTAATAATAATGTTATTGCGACTAATTTATGAACGAAAGGTGTTTGTTGCCAAAGATGAGTAGTATGAACTCAGCTTGACCAGCCCTTCCTGCCTCTTATTTCTCTGATTTTTTTTAAAAAATTTAATAACCTTTTAAGAGAAACATTTTCCATGTTACATCAAACATTTTTTGCTTATTTTTTCTTTTCTTTTATGTGTACACTAAATAGTATTATAGCTATATCCTTCTTTAACCAAAAAAAAATTAGGCAATTTAGGTCTTGGGAAACCAAGGTGTGAACATGTTTTTTGGTTCAAAAAATACTTGTAAAGGTATTTAAAAATGGCTAGCCAAGTTATATTTCTACTCTATGTCCTTAATTCCCTATGGGACTTCAAATTCACGTTACTTCATTTTTCATACCAAAGGTAACTTGGATTTCAAAATCTTCAAACTTCAATGACTTATGTAGGACGCATTTAAAAAAATAATAATAATAATATTATATATAAATTACTTGATGGATTATTAATTAAATTTTAATTTCTCAACATAACTGGTTTTGCAATTTATCAGAAAGAGATTTGATATGTAATTTAATATTTTTATATGTTCTTAAACATCTCTCTCCTTGATTTTGGTGATACGATGAAAGGTGACTTGTATGTTATAAATATAGTACGTAAATTAGAAAAAAAAATTAATTTTTTAATCCTTCAACTTTTAACTAACTTATAACTAAATCCCTCAATTATAACTTATTGTGACTCAATCTCTTGACTTTTAACTTGTCTATAAATTAGTTACTTAACTTTTATTTTATTATCTTTTTTTTTATGTTAACTTAGATTTCACGTCAAAAGATAAGGGAAGGATATTTTAGAGCAAAATATAAGCATTTTTTTATCCCTCTTATTTGATAAAGATAATTTTTTAAAAAATTTAAAAATAAGGATTAAGTTATAAGTGAATTAAAAATTAATGGATTGAATTATAGTAAGTTATAGTTGAAGAATTGAATTGTAGTAAGTCATAATTAAAAAATTAAATTTTAAATAATTAAAAATTAAAGAATTAAAAAATTAATATTTTTAAAAATTAATAAGATAAATAGGGGAAAGGACGCGTGATAGAGAAAGGGTCCCATGCTGGAAATAGTAAATAAAGACATGTCGTTGGACCACTTTTTTTCTGTGATGGTTCCCGACATCAATGAAAGAGACTCTCTATCGCACTTCTTGTTCTTTCTGTTTGTCAGCTGGTTGGCTCTCTGACAATTAACGTCGGTAATTCAGACGAATCGAGTTTATTCAAATTAAATTCAATTTAAATTAGATTTATTTAAATTAAATTTAAAAAATTTTACTCATTTTAAAAAATTATATAATTAAATCTAGCTTTAATATCTTCAAGTTTATTCGAGTCAGTCTGAATATTTAAATTTTTTTAAAAAAATATTTTTTTCTTTAATTTTTTAATTAATTTTAATTTTTAAATAATTTTATTAAGCATAAAATATTATTTTAAGGAATAAAAAAATTAATAACTTGTTAACTTTGTAGTTAAGTACTTAAGTAGCTCTATAATATTTTATTGTATTATATGCAATTTATTTATGAATTTTTTTACTTATAAATTAATGTCTTATTTGTTTAAATATTGCTCTTATCATGGTTATATAAAAATATTTATAAATTTTAACTAAATTATATTATTTTAATTATGATTAAGTTAATATCAATTCAACTACAGTTAAATCATTAATTTAAAATTATTGCCCTAATTAACTCAAAGTTTTTAATAACTATTGGATAAACTATATTTTTTATTTTTTAGAATATGAGAAAATAGCCATCATTATATTATATAAAAAAATTATTTAATTATAGGTAAAACACTATTTTTAAATTTTTTTCTTTAACTTTTTATATTGTTTAGGCCTTATATATAAAAAGTATTTATTTTAATTTTATTTTTAATTTTTAACTAAGTCTGGCATGGATGATAATTAAATAATTATTCAAAAATATTATTTTATTTATTATGTTTGTTAATAGTAGAGCCAGAAATTCGTACATACCCAAATTTTATTTTTAAAATTATTTTTAGTTTAAAATTAATTATTTTATTTTATAAAAAATATAAAATATAATTTTTTGGACAAAAAATGGTGTATATGACTCAACTTTTTTTTTTAAAAATTGAGTCTTAAAATATAAAAATTAATATTAAAATATATTTTAATTATTATTTTGAGATATTTTATGTGATTAAAAATAAAAAAATAAGAAAATATAAATATTTTGATTTTTTAAAATAATTTAGTAATACACTCAAATATATAGTATTTTAAAAAATGATATAAAACTTTAAAAATAATTAATCTTATATTATATATATATATATATATTTTTTTTTTAAAAATTATTTTTTTCTATTCGAGCTAAGCCCGAACCCGATTGGGCTTAGCTCAAATTTTCTCGAGCCTATTCGGCTGCCTGAATAGGCCCAAATAATAAAAAATTATTTTTTTGGGCTTGTGTTTAAATTTATTAGGCGGGTTCGAGTTGGCCCGTCGAGCTTGGTTCAAATTACTGGCTTTATTGACAATACATAACATATAAAGTGAATTGTATTTTCCCATCTCTCTTTTGTTTATTGTTAGGTACTTAGATATGATCCTTATAAATGTCACATTCCATCATAATTTGGTTTCATCTTCTAAATATTAGTCCTAATTACAGTATTCAGAATATTAATTTTTCTCTCTCTCTCAAATTCCCTTGTATTTTCTTGCCCAAAAAAAAAATTCTTGTATTGGAAGTCATTTTTTCTACCTTTTTACTAAAAAATAATGTTAGAATTGAACGAATTTAATTTAGAGCAATATGGTAAAGTAGTGGTATTTTTTAAGAACAAAAGAACATAGCATAACATTATTTCAACTATTTTTTAATTTGCGTGAAGAAGTTAAAAATAACTTGTAAAAAAAAATAAAAAACAATACTTCTCTAGTCTTATTTATCAAGAAGAAAGAGAAGATTAATTTTGATCATATTTATAAATATTTCACTATTTTTGATATTTATTTTTACTTTTATGCCCTTATTAAATGTTAGAAAAAATTATTAAGAAATAATTCTTTTTTGTTCTTATTAGGAGCAGAGGGAACTTATTAATAAGATTTGAATGAAACATATTAAAAATGATTTATAAATAAAATAAAAGAAACTTGTAGACTCACGGCACTTTTTCTAGGTCATCTATGACATTTTGGAACAGTTAAAGAATATCCCTCAACATATTAATAGATGAAACAAGATGCATGTGTATGACAAATCAGGCTATTAATAAATTATAAATAAAATGATTCATTTTATAAACTTCTCAGGAACATTAGTATAATTATGATATGATAGAGCAGATGCATTGGTAAATTATTATCATGCGTCTATCTTATATATTTTTTAAGGACATACAAAAATTAATTATGAAAACACGTTTTGAGATGATATAGCATTTAGTTTTATATTTTTTTACATTTATTTTAAATTTGTGTAGAAATATAAACGTCACATAAAAGCACAATTTTTAACCGATTATATATATATATATATAGGTACGTAACAGATTTTATATTTGTTTTTTAGTTGGAATAATTATGTTTTCTTTACGGGCCGGGTAAGCGTTCCCAATTCTTCTGTGGCTCTAATTGTAACCCATGAAACTCTTGGAACTCCATATCGGGTCAAAATCAAAGTCCAAGATCCTGTTAGACGGGTCCAAGCATGATCATGACCATGGAAGAGAATTTTTCGAGTAAAAGCATAACACTCTCGTTTTGCATTAATAAAAAAAAAAAAACCGTTTTCTTTGATCGTACTTTTAGAGGAGCAAACAAATGTATAGATTAGTTAACCCGTCAAGCTTCTACTGATAATTTTAATATATTTATTTTGGATTTAGTACCCTTTAATTGTAGAAATTTTTTATATGATAACATAACTGTTTATGTTGGATAGGAAAAAAAAAAACTGTTTTTTAATCAACAAAAATTGGTCCAGTAAAGATTTGACCATAACTCATAAGGTCATGGAATTGAATCCTATTATCAATGTGAAGATTATATTGATGGGTCATGTAAGTATCTCTGTAAACACTTTTTTAATTAGGAGGTATGCCTAGACCTTGGTCTCTTGTAAATTCTTAAAATCTAACTTACTTAAATTTTTTTTTATAAAAAAAAATAAGAATTACTCTTTTTATAACGTCCAGCAATATAAATTTTTTCCCCAAAACTGAGATAAACGCGTAATGATAGAACTAATTTCTATCTTACTATCATCTTACAATCATGGGTGTGTATCTTTTTTATCATTATGAATAAGGTCACTTTAGAGGATTTAAATTAATTTTTTCTTCTCATTTCCAATAAATACTCTGAGCGGAGTTTAACTGCATATTCTCCCGAATCCACATTTATATACATAAATTAATAATTAAGAAATTAATATTTGTTTATCATCATGTTCCTTTTCTTATTTTATTTCTTTTACAATTTCTTTTTCTTTTTTGAATTACAAGATCGCAATCAAAACCGTGTATATAGCATTTGGTCAAAAAAAAAACCATGTATAGACGCAAGACTATGTCTAATCAAATAATAAAATATTTCTACATCCTATGGATAGGTTGTTAAAATTAAAGATCCTAATATCACAATTGTCATTGCTACTAATATATACTTTTTTTATAACCAACGAGCACATTGGTAGAGATTTGTGCTCACTTAAATAGTAGTTGTGAGTTTGAGAGTCTAGGGCATGCAATTGTGTTATGTAAATACTTGTTGGAAGAACTTTGTTACCAATGTCTAATTAATATCACATTGTCATTACTATTTACTACAAAATATACTTTTTATAACCACAAGCACATGATTTAACTGGTAAGTGTTTGTGCTAGTTTAATTAACGGTTT